ATCGGCTTTTCACGGTCCGTATGTTCCTTTGTATTAGTTCGCTAGCGTAGCCTTGCCGAGGAATATCCCCTTCAATTTGTCCAGCTCCTCGTCCCAGAATCCTACATCCGTTAATCGTAGGCTTCGGATGATTATGCTCCTTACTATTCCAAATTTAAGCCTGTAACTGTGGTGGGACCGGAAATTGAGTATTATCCCAGCATAGGACTTCTTTTTGAACAATTTATTTTTGAGCGTCCCATTAGAACGAATCACTTCAACGTCCAGGAACGGTAACCGCTCACCTTCCTCTACTTCTAGCTTGAATTGAATTTTTTGTCAATTTGCTTTGCAAACTTCAGAGACTCTTCCAGTTTTTCTCTTTCATGTGAACAAAATGCGAAGTTATCATCCAAATACCGCATGAGCACTGCCGGTTGTAGCGGTGCCATCTTGGAGCTCTATTCTATTTTGTTCATGTATACATTGGCCAAAAGTGGTGGGAGCAACGATCCCATGGGAAGTCCAAATATTTGTTAATAGATGTTCCCGTTGAATGTAAATTAAGGAAAGGAAGGATTTTCACAAACTCACCACACGTTTGGTCAAAGGATTGGCTTCACTTGTCTCTTTGACATGTTGTTTTGTGGTGCTAAGACTGGCGAGACTCATTGACGAAGCCGGCGAAACGTCTGGGAATGTACCACGTCCACGGTCCGACTTTGGAAATGATCATGCATACAATGGACTCGAACCAGATGCATTCCTCTAAGTCTTCCTACCAATATAATCAAGTTGCGAAAACAAGGTCAAACAACCTCTATAAGGGTATTATTATTCAGGTTTGTTTCAATGTGTGTTCATCTATTCTGGTAGCTTTTATTTGCTTTCCCTGCGTGTTTCTATTTTCTATTTTCTATAGATAATTTAGTTCGACTTGATTATTTTTCTATCCAAGGAATTTTTGAAGAATAAATAGGAAATAATTTTTGAGTTCACTTACATTTCCAATGAAAATTAAAAGATTTGAAGGTCAGTCTCACCAAAAGACTACGGCGGATTCCTCTTGACCAGATGTCATTTGGCCTCACTATAACCTTTTTGTTGTAGCTGTTTTCGAGGCATTTTTCCTCCATTTCGGTAAATACGTGCTAAGCTTTCGTACTTTGTATGACGGATATCATCGTAGCAGGGTATCGTCCTTACGAATATATATAAAGCTAACAAGTCAATAAAACTCATCGACTTATCCTTAAATGTGGCATATCTAAGCTCTTTGATGAGTTATAAAGTGATCTGGTTAATCCAAGTTGTATCAACCTCGAAGTACGTCAGTATCTGCCTTTGTGTGATTATGCAACTTCAAATATTCGTATATGTACGAAACCTGCAGCATGTCTCAAAGTAATTAGAAGATTAAATTCACGTCTGTTCTTAGCCATCAAGGTTTGATTAGTATCATCACCTTTATATATATATATATATATATCCCACGGTCTCCTTCGAAAAACGTTAAAGCGAAAATAGGTCTTTTTCTTCCTCGGTGAATCTGAAATATTCTTGAGGGCATCCGTCTAGATATTTTACCTCGAACCTCGCTATCATTATACCTATTTGATCCAAGTCATTTTAATCTCTATATTTTACTTAATTTTATCCTATTATATTCCAGCCTTCACTTTTAATGATATAACTGCAACTGAGGTGATTTCACACTATATCCACAATATTCATGCTTTTTCGTTTCTTTTTATTGGACATCTAAAATTTGTTTTGTTTAGCATACTTCTGATGTTGCTTCTACCCAAGCTTTTTCTGCGGCTGCACCTGGCAACTGTACCCTGCGCCAGAGACAGACGGCCACACCCAGTCCAAACAATGCTTCTTCACCGACTTCTGTTCCCACTACCACGAACTTGACTATCCCCGTTCCTTCTGCAGTTGGCGTCAATGTCTGCACCACTACCAACTCTATTACTTCGGTAACCAGCCTTAATACATCTGGTAGCAACCTTCTTAGCAGTGGCCCTGCCACAGGCGGAGCGCTAATTATCCGTCCTTCAGTTGTGACACGTACTCGCATCTGTTCTACTTCCTCTATCTCCGGAAGTCTGGGGACCGTTTCTCCTATCTCTATCACTTGTTCTGGACAACCAGCTATGCCGGCTCAGGTCGGTATCTCCCTATCACGATGCTTTTTATAACATCATTAATTTAAAATATCATTTATTTCTTATCGCAAGAGAGAATTTTTCATATTTTATTGCGTTCAAATACCTGCGAGTTAGTTTATCGCCGAAATTACTCAGTTAACACACCTCTAATACAACTATTTGACAAAATATACGTATTTGGTAGTTGTTTGGCCTTGTTTCCACAGCTTGATCATATTGACAGGAATACCTAAAGTACGCACCTTGTCAGAGGCCATAGTATGCATGATAATTTCCAGTCGGACCGTGGACTTAGTAAATTCTCAGACGTTTCGTCAGCATCGTCTAAGCCTTGCCATTCTTAGCACCACAAGTTGATTAGAATGATAAGGCCCACTGACAATGCTGACGAAACGTCTGTGAATTTACCAAGTCCACGGTCCGACTGAAAATTATTATTTATATTATAGACTCCGTAAATGGTGTTTCTGCCAATATGACTAAGCTTCGAAAACAAAGTCAATGAACTACTATACAACGAAAGGAGACCGCGGCCATATAAAATGTCACACTATTTTGGTCTTCATACCTGAAAGTATTTACATCGGTATTTTTTATTCATTTCTAATT